AAGTAGAGAAACATCCTGCAATATTGATTAGCAATACCGACCAAAGCTATTTCTCATTTCTTTTATCAAATATTATTTTTATCAAATATTATTTTTGAGCAAACAAATATTACGATTCTGAAATTGTATTATTTAAGGTATTGTTTTTAATGTTCTTAGACACTAAACATATCCATTGATATTAGTAAGTCAAAAATTACTTTTAAAGATCTTTCGTTTCTTACAAAGGAACAAATCGAAGTCGAAATCGCCGATTTTGATAAAATTTTGCATGAATGTAGTTTTTAAAAAAATAGTCGATCCGTATTTTTCTTTTTTTTTTTCGGCGATGGTTGATGGTGAAGTGAAAACTACCCTCCAAGTTGGCGTGCGAAATATATTTTGTTAAATATGTCGGAAATTATTGAAGATATCGTATTGAAGATATTTTGTGTACAATGATGAAATTAGTGTTTTTTAACGATGAATTTAATAATGTATACAGTTTTGCAAAAAAACCTTTTGTTTGAACAATATATTTAAAAAATCGTATTTTTGATAAGTTTCTCCAAGTAAATGTTAACAAAGTTTCTTGAATATTTGTTTATGAATACTATATATTGAAACACAAATTACGGATAAAATAGAATCTTGATTTTTTCATCATTAAAAAATTCGTTATTTTCAAATCTTTCTCGCTGGACGTGCAAAGCAGGGTGTAGAATTGTCCTTTGTTCGTAAATATGTTTTAAAATATTAAATGTTAATATTAAATGTAAATGTAATATATTTTAGTTCCAATAAAGGCTGATTTTATTGTTCAGTACTTATTCCTTTTTTTAAATAGATATGTTCAACATCATTCAATGTAATCTTTGCAGTAGTGGTATCCCTTGAAGAAGTTATAAGTGGTATAAGCACAAATGTTTTTTACACGAACATTTTCAGACAACTTCATTATAGTCAAAACAATGTGTATTTCTAATTCCAAATCCGTGAAACAAAACTTCGCTGGATTTTCGAATTCTTGTAACCTAATACCTATGTAAACGCATATTTAAACATTTCTTTACATCTTGTAGGATAATTAATTGTGAATTAGTGATTGTAATTTTATGATATTATTTCGAATATTTAAGTTGAGATTAATATTTAAATTGACTGTTAAATCCGAAATTTTCTTTGCAAAATTTTTCCAAATGGAAGAATGCCGGAAGGCATAGACGTTTAATGAATAAATTCTGAAGAAGCTGAATAAAGTTCTGTTATACTTTTTGCTGGAGAAGTGACTCCAACCGTGTTCACTTTTAAACTTTTTAGAAAATACTTCCTTCTGCTGTTCCTTCATTCATCCCCTTACAATTAGCAGATTTTTACCTGGAAGAAAAGGCAACTCACGTACGAAAGAGTGAGTTTTATTTATCGTTTAGATTTTCTATGGTGAAGTTATAAGAAATGTACGTGCTCATTGATGTCGTACCGTATTCAAGAAATGGCGAAATTTACCCCGGTAGGGTAACACAATTGAAGTTTTGAAAAACCTAAACTAACGGAAAAAAATACGTATTATTTATACTACTACGTATATTACACAGATGACTGATGGAAACTCGAAAAATAACTGTCTCTGACCCTGTCATAGATCTGTCTCTCCGACAATTTGTACAAAATGCTTGGTAATTTTCTACAAAAAATGACAGTTAGTTGCAATGCTTTTCAAAAAAGTAACTGTTTTATCTAATTGTAAAGACAACTATAAAGAAAAATAAAAAGACAACTATAGATATGCATGTCCGTGAATGCTATATCACTTATTGAATGATTGATCATGTCTTGACTATATCTATTTAAAAAAAGAAGTACTGAATAATATTGATCAGAACTAAAATATATTACGTTTACATTTAATATTAACATTTAATATTTTAAAACAATTATTACGAACAAAGGACAACTCTATACCCTGCTTTGCATGTCCAGCGAGAAAGATTTGAAAATAATGAATTTTTTAATGATAAAAAAATCAAGATTCTATTTTATCCGTAATTTGTGTTTCAATATATAGTGTTCATAAACAAATCAAGAAACTTTGAAAAGAACTTGTTAACATTTACTTGGAAAAACTTATCAAAAATACGGTTTTTTAAATATATTGCTCAAACAAAAGGTTTTTTTGCAAAACTGTATACACCATTAAATTCGTCGTTAAAAAACACTAATTTAATAAATGTACACAAAAGCGATATCTTCAGTAATTTCCGAGATATTTAACAAAATATGTTTCGCACGCCCAACTCGGTGGTTTTCATCCCTTTAACATTCCTTCACCCTTTTAACATACAACCATTGCCGATAAAAAAATACGGATTATATTTTTTTGAAAAGATTCATGCCAAATTTCATCCAAATCGGCGATATTCGGCACTTCGGTATGTTCCCTTATCAGACAAAATGATTTATTATATTATACCAATCTACTAAATATAATAAAAAATCTTATCTTGGCAACGTTTCTTTATATACAAGTGAACTGATGAATTGATAAACTAGAAAATAAAATCTTGGAGAACAAGTAATATGAACTGATAAGAAAAAGAACTTGTTTTTACTACATTTTAGAGAAAGAAATAAAAAAGTTTTAATTTTTCCACTTACTTATTTACACTTATTCATGTTACTATCTATCTTATCATTCATAATATTTTATCTTATAATAACATCCATTATTACTTATATCATCTACTTAATGAAAATACTGTTCAAAATGCTAGCCTTTCGCATATGCGCCTAACATTACATTGAACATTAATCACTCTGATTGTAGCAAGACATTGTTCTAATAATATTTGATAATAATATCAAAAAATTATAATTTGGTCTCTGAGATGCTCTTTTGAGTTAATTGGCGTTGAATAAACTTACTAAAAGGTGAGTGAAAAAAAAACTTTTTTCTTTCTTTTTTCTCTATAATGGAGCAAAAACAGGCAAATCTTTAAAAAACATTTTTCTTAGTTTGTCTATTTTTTATATACTCTCAATGTTTTGTTGTTTAAATTCAGAACATTCCGTGTAATGTACAAATGTTTCTAAGTGTTTTTTGTATAGCCCCGACACTTCAATTGTTGTCCAAGTAGCGACCAACATAGTCTACCAATAAAGAGCAAATTTTTATTATAGTTCAATTAACAATAATTAACAAATAAAATCAAGATTATATTAATATCATTATATTAATATATATTAATATATTCATGTATTCGCTCTTATATCTTTCTTTAAATTTTGAAACAAAAATGATTAAATTGAACACATTGAATGTACAAATCTGGAAAACATTACTTTACATTAATTATTTGTAAAAATAAAGTATAAATTAAAATATTCGAATTAGATGTCTTTTTATTAATATTATTAATTACTTAAACCTAGTTTAATTTAACAATTAATCAATATTGAACTATAATTTTTCATACAAGTTACAACTTTCTTTACTTTTACGGATTATCATTCTTCTTATCAAATTTCACAAACTCTAATTTCTCTTCTTCCATTAAGTTATCACAAACACGTTTTTGAAACATGCGTTCTTTACCGATTCTAACCCCAAATATAATAAAAGAAAGAACTTGGTCGGTACTGGATTCTTTCTTGTAGAAGATGAAATTTAATAATGATGATAATAAAATGTTAATAAAATGAGTAAATGATATTAAAAATTAAATGCACTTTTTTAAATGTTTTAACATACACCCTGTAATAAATAACTTCTCCCTGGAATAGGATAAAGTAAATCCGATCCAATGTTATTTAAATTTGATGTCATTATTATATCAGCAGTAGAACTATATGTGATAAGGGGCCTTCTTGTAGATACGGTCCAAATCGGTTTATATTCTTCAGGACTAGATTTTATATACCACGCCTCTGGATCATATAAACAATTATATTTTATACACGTCATTGGTTTCCTAGTTTTCCTGAAACAAATTATAAATATGCTTTTTAAACAATATCGATTTTATATCTTTATATTTATTCTTTTTAATATTCTTGTATTATTTTTATAATATATAGCCTCCAATTTAGTAGATAACAATTTATTATATTAGAAGAATTGATATTTTAATATTTTATAAGAGAAAAATAATATGTTTCATTTCTTACAAACAATCCATCTGATTAAAGAGACATCTTAAACGTTTAACTTCTTGACCAGAACTTGAAATTTTGTTACAAAAGCCCCAATTTCCAAGTGTTTCTGCTGTACTAGCGGCATTATTTTTTGAACATTTGATGTTATATTGCATTTTTGATAAAATTATGTCAAAAATATTATAACTAAAATTAATGAAATTAATGTAATAAATAATGAACTCAAAAAATTTTTAATTTTTAATTAAAATGTCTAAAATATATTTTATGAAAATATCACATTATCGTCATATATGTCTTTTGTTTTATTTTTGTAATTACAAACTTCATGTAATATTGAAACATTCATGTCGTATCATAAAATGTAATATACAAGATGTCCGGTTTCAATATATAAATGGAATTATAATATTTAATATATATATTATACATATATATATATATATATATATATATATATAATAATTATAAAGCATTCATTATTCAAAAAAATGTTTCTGACGAATCTTCTGTTTCAAGAGGAAAGTATTTTGGTAAAATTGGTTTAATTATAAGTAGAAGTATTTCAAAGTCAACTTAATATTTTTAAATAGAACTCTATATTTTTTTATACAGCAATCAATGCATTCATCAATCTTTTTATTCTCTACAAAAAAAGTATATTCCAATAATCTACTTATATCTTCTTATACCTTCTTCATACTTTTCTCCGTCGTTTTTTTTTCTTCTAAACGACGCACAAACTTCATCACATCACTAATTTGATTGCAGTATGCTGCTGTTACAGTCACATTTCATATGTTAATTTCATCGATTGTATATGTAGTAGTGACTATTCTGCACATTTTGGCAGGCTTAGTTAAATGGGAATGGATTGTGTAACGTATTCTGAAAAAAAAGGAACAGGAAATCGACTCATTGAAAGACAGACTCTTGTAACTCACAGAAAGGAAGAAATTAGACAGGCCTATCGTTTCAGAAATATTTCAACTTCTAGTTTTAGATAATTTATCCGGTATAAATACATATATATTACCACCATTCGGTCTTAGTTCCCAAAATATACTTTTGACGTATATGTGATAACGAATTTGGACATATTTAATAATGAGTTAATTGATTTTTGAACAGTGCAGAAAATAATTCATAACAATTTAAGCTGCATTAAATAGAAAATGCAGATAAAATAGCTTGAGTGCTTCAAACTACGAGTCCATAATCCGTGAAACCAAAGTCAATGTCAGATATCTTTATAAGTTTTCATCCAGATTTTAGTACTGACAGCGCAGTACACGAATTTTACCAAGAGTCATTTAATTATAGAATTTTTCTTATGCAAAAAATTTCCGAAATATTTGTAAAAATAAGTTATATTTTTTAAAAGGCGAATTCCTAAATTTATAACGAGATACCCAAGACTATGTATTTTATAGTAGATAACATGCTTTCTTTCTTGGATTCTGCAGATAAATTATTCATTAAGATTAATCATTTGTAAATTATTTCCAAATAACGACAACGTTTCCAGCTTTTGTGGGCCAGACATTTGTTTAATCTATCAATATTTTTCTTTCAAAAGAACGAATCATTTTTAAAAATGTTTCAGTTAAACTATATAAACAGACCGATCGACGTAAGACGACTGACAACTTGCATTGATGAAGTACAGATATACACAAAAGTACTTTCAATATTACATACTTTATATATTTTACAAATTGTGTTGGAATTAAATTGTCTTAAACCGGCTGTAAGGTGACGGCAATTCAAACCTCTTCAGTCTATTCTAAATAATTATTTTATTTTTATTCTCAAAAGTTTTCGCACTTTGCCAAAAATTCTTCTTACAAACATTTTCGTGTAAAATTAAGTTATCTTCAAAATCAAAGATGACACGTTTTTGGAAACTTTACCGAAATTTTTGGTGTATATCTCAGAAATTAAAGTCGAACGACGGTAATATGAATAGAGGAAAGTTGTTCGGATTGGTGATTTTGACACTATATTTCAAAATCATTGAAATCAGTAAAGAGTTTCCTTTTGTAAATAACGTTGGTCTACAAAATTGTCACTTTCCTTCTAACACAAAAGATATAATATGTAATTTTAATAATACTTTTTATGAAGAATTCAAATGTACAACTCCTTTTTTTCATTACCCTCAATTTTTGAGAAAATCAATTTTGAAAAAAATAAAAATTTTCAACTTTAAATATTGATATATTTTTAAACAACTTTGAACTTTAATATATTTTTATTATAAAATGATTTGTAAATAATAAGTATATATAAATAATGAGTAAATAATAATGAGTAAATAATAAATAATGAGTGAAGCGTGCCAATACAGTTGCATGAATCAAACAGCTGCGTTAAAAAGAAGATTACGTGATCGTGATTATCTCATGTTGAGCGGAAATATTTTAATTTCTCAAAAATAAAATTTTTGTTTAATTTTTTTTATGGTTTTTGCAAGAAAATTGATTTCCTCTACTTCTTACTGTAGGTTATCTACAGTAAATTATTAAATACTTTATTTTCGGATAAAAGAAATTTTACATAGACAAAACGAAGTTACAACTTGAAATTATTTCTTTACATATATAGATTAAATTCTTCGCACGTATTACACATAAAGTAAAATTTTAGAAAAAAGATTTTTTCTTAGAAAAGAGAAGTGGAATTTGAGAAAAATTAAGATTTTATGTATACAAGCCGCAAAGCAAAAGATAACGCTAACAAATATGACAGCAACACAATTCATCAAATATTTGAATAAATAGATATATTAGTTGTAACATCTCCCGACGTTTGAAATTGTGTCACTGCAGATCATCGCACGCGTTCAAGTTCTTCAATCTCAATCGTATAAATTTCCAGTTATAGCCAGGCTAAAGATCCACTGTGCGGACCCGCCCTAGGATGGATGATCGTTTCCACACCCAGCCCCTAACAACTAAGCGTCTGAATTTAAGGCCCCCGTTAATTATTAAGTTAAGTTTAGACGTTAAAACATGCTGCGATGCATGCATCAACTCCTAGGTTTCATGAAACATCAGATCATGTTTCTGAATCAGCTTGCCTCCACTCTACCGATTCTTCAGTTCTTCGTGTGACGCCAAAGTTAGAACAAGCGTTTTAAAATGTCGGATCGTCTTCCAGCTCCAATATTAGTGATAGTAATATTAAGTTTATTATCACTTACAAAAAAAAAAATTAAAAAATGGA